CTGCAATGTCGAAAGTAGTGGAACACCATCAGTTTGCAATATGCGAATACAAGGAAGGAAGGCAAAAGGCACTGGGAAACTTGGAAACTTACCAGGATTGTGCTCGATATGCGCTGATATTGCAAGGTACGTGTGTGGCTCGACACTACGGTTGCTTGGCCAGCAACCTTGATATAGCGAAATGACAGTAATTATCGTGATGATATTCCAGGGAGATGGTTTAAAGGCTCTTGGCAGTCAATGCTGGAAGGAGCTTGTTGGAAATTGGATTGCAGAGCTTGCAATCACATAGAATCCTATCCCATTCTTTCTAGTTCTACCCAATTCGTTTCCCTTCATCCTCAGTGGGAAAACCTCAAAAGCTCAGGTTGTTGTGCAAGATGAAGTACTACAGGACATCGATTTTCGTTGGGGTTCTAAGTTATAACCCATTTGGGTTTGTCCAGAGGGAACCCCCAAGTCTAATTGTTTATCATCATTTTCCCGTATACTTGGGTGTCCCTTGTTTTTGGAGAAGTCCGATGTATGGTAAATCCTGATAGATTACCACTGAAATCCCAATTTCTTAAAACAACTGCCTACATATCTCGTTGCCCAAATCGCATTACTGTAACATACAGATTTTTCTTTGTTGAAAAACCCGACTTTGCCATAGATTTTTTTGAATGTCCCATTGCACCCAGTGGTTCAAGACCTCAGTTCCACAATATTTGATGGCTATAAATGAATTGAGATATCCCCGATTTGTGGGCACACCAAACTTGGATATCCCCGTGGCAGGATCCTAGAACCCTTGAAGGAGGCTGTCCTCAGGAATCTCGCGCATAGGCCTGGCCTCAGCCCAAATCAAAGCCATTTTTGGTGTTTGATTTTGGGAAGATTTTCCGTCCAAAAGTATCACAACCAGAAACAGTCTATTTTGGAAGAGTATATATATATACCAGTATAACTCAAGGATTTGGAGATATTTTTGTACCCAGACCGACAGTTGTTTGTGACCAAGGCTCAATTTGGAACTGCCATTTGAGACGAAACCTTTTGATTCTCATTTTAGAATCGTTTGGCTTAAAATCACGGGGAACTCGCAATCCATTGAACTGTCCGTTGGTCGAAAACATGACGTCAGTCGTCCATGGACCAGCTGTGGCCGTCACCCCAGGCACTCATACGTACGTCGAAATGCAGTGATGTGCGTCTTCTCCATCGTCAAGAGCTTTGGCGTCGAGGTCTTACCGGAGGTGGGTCTGGAAGACTGAACACCTTCTGGAAATAGCGAACTTTTCCAACCAAGTGGTTGTAGATCAATGTCCAATGATTGGCATGTGGTTGTTTCATTCAATTCTATGGTTGCTTCGAGTAGGGTAGTGGATGAAAACCCTCAACCCTCAGCTGCTTCTCCTTGCTCTTTGTCAGGCACCTGAGGATATTGAGCAGCTGCTGTTGGTTGAGGGCGATCTCTCAACGAAGCGTTGGGGGCAGAGTTGGGCTGTTCGAACTGCGACCCATGGAGTTACCCATCCGACTCCGTCCGTGACATGAGGTAACGCTTTCCTCATGCTCGTGAATTGCGACCAGGAGCTGCAAGCAATGGGGGTCGCATTTTGCAAATGCTTCCATCCATGTCAAAATTGTCAAACACATTGTTTGAAGACACACAACACACAGGTATTGAGAAGTTGGTAAATTGAGTTGATGAAGGATTTTTTCTGTGGCAACATGGGCCACATCTAATGTTTGCCTTGCATGACCCAGCCACAGGAGAGGGCCATCAAGTACGTCCTGAGCTTGCAAGACCAAGCAGCACACTCAGTTCCCCAAATGTCATACACATCATGTGAGGGTGAGGATTTGGAGGTGTGATGAAAAAAACAACCTGCCTGCTTCTCCATTTTGACTTGGTTGCCCGAAGTCTAACAATCTATGCTTGGTCACAAATATGGGGATATTCAAGATTCCAGAATCTCAGTCCGACACACAGCTGGGGGTCCCAACACCCCAGAGACAGCTTGGAGCAACCCTGAGGTGAGTTCCATGGGTGACATTTTCCAGCTGGCGGTTTTGGAGCTGGTGCGAAAGGCACCCTGTCATGGGAAGGGAAAACTGTGGTTAGGAAAATTTGTTCCAAATCCATCTCTCTGTTTGAGCTTCGGATTCGATCTTTCCAATGGGCATGCACATTAATGTGGTACAAACAATACCATAGCCAGCCAATCGGGGATGGTTCAGAACAAAGCCACTTCTGGTAGTCCTGGAAATGGCTTATTCTTCCAGATCTCCATTACTCAGTTGCTCAGTACTCCATCCTTTGGTCCTTTTTTATCCCCAGTCCAGTCCTCCAATGCAGAGTGCAACGTGACAGGTTTGCCGCTCAACGTCAGTGAACAAGGGTCGATTCCTCCGCATTGCCACCTGACTCAGCATTGAGAGTGGCAACTGACTGCCACTTCACGTGGGTCTGAAGCCTTGAGACAGTGTTGGCTTCAATTGATGCTGAGAGATGGCTCAGAACAGCCTTGACTGCAATCATGTTTGTCATATTTCTGACCTGACATACCTACTCTTGATTTTCCTTTTCAGTGGGACTTCATGGTGTTGTGGCCTGCTCTTTGTTCCGGCGCCTAAGCCTAGGACAGATAAATGACACGCGGGGTTTCATGGACACCAGCCATGAGATCTTGAGGGCTCTTGTATGGTTTCATCTTCATTGCATGTGGTTGTGCATCCATTAAATTATTATTGGTAAATATTGGCAATACGCATCACAATTCGTGCTGATCTATCCACTTGATGGATTTTGCGGTGCCAAGCTGCAGGTTTTTGATTTGGCAGCCTCCTCTTCGACCGCAGTGCTGGAACCCCGGAAGCAAGTGAGGCAGAAAGGCTTGGAGGATATGGAGAACTTGAGCGTCAAACATGGGTATATAAATCGGCACAGATGCTATACATATGTACACATAACCGCATATATATATATACATACACACATACACATACTTGTCAATTTATAAGTATATATATATAATATATGCACATGCATACATATTTGTTTTGTATATAATCATATATGTATATCAATATACGTATGTACCGTATGTTCGATGATGTTTGCATAAATGCAGTATATCAAGATCCACGAGAGATCAGTGATGCTCCGGGAATTGATCCTTAAAGATCCCCGCTGGGCCACCAGGTCCTATGAGTGCGCCTCCAGCTTAGTGACGCTCTCCTCATCTCCTGTAGCCATCCATCAAGCAGCACAGGCGTGGAAAACTTGGGACAACTTTTAAGCTTTTAAGGTGCGTCGTGAGATTCAAAATTTGAATTGAAAGACCAATTTCTGCTGGGACTGGAAAGGAAACTTCGGCTTTGTTGGAAGTTCATGGTCAAGTGTCTTACTCTGTGATCGATTTATTCACACTCTTTCACTATCCTCTCCGGTCATGTTTTCTTTTTGGCCCAAACAAAAGGGGTACAGACTTGGATGATTCTGTTCTGGTGGTTGAATAAACTCCCTGTCAATACTGAGACTGTACGCAAAGGAAATGGGAAAGTGGTGGCTTAAAAATGCTTAAAACGCTTTTCCTGGGCACTGCCTCAGGCGTACGTGCAGCTTTTGACTGAGCAGTCGGACAACAACGTCAAGCCCTCCGGCAGCTGTTGGATCATCCAGCGCTTGTATGTGCTGCATACCCATGCCTTAATCCGCAGGTTCATCCACCAAAATTGGGCATGGAACCACCAAAGCCATGGATGGCTCCCCTTTTCGAGGGAATTGGAAGACCATTTTGTACCCTGGGAAACACATCATGGTTATTGACCGCCCATCTCGTGAGTGGTTTCATTTCTCTTTTCATTTTCCACCCTATTGTATGTGGGATCGTTGATGAGTATTTCTGGAATAGGTTGAAGTAATCACCAATCACTTGTCATTCCTGGGATGGGTATTCAACTATAGCTGTTGGGAAAACTGTGGGCACGGAGGCTGATTGTTTTGGACCGCTTGCGGGACGTGCAGAAACACCACAAGCAGGCAGGCTTCGGTGAGGACACTGATCATGTTTAATTACTCAGTTTACTCGCTGGTTGCCAGAAACCACTAAATCACCAAAAAATGAAGCGGGGAAGTGGACTTCAGGAAAAATATGACTGCTGCCTTTGGAAGTTCTGGAGTTCCTTGCTGGACCATTGCCATGTTATTTTTTTTCTGAAGCAATTGCAGGTCATGGAGGGAATGGTCATGGACATCTTCCGTGCTCTGAGCTGTCCCTCCCTGGACGTGCGGAAGAAGGTAGCAAACTCAGCAGTTTGTCGGCCCCAACGCTTCTGCCGTTGGACACTTGGAGTCAAAGTGAGATTCTTCATTGACTGGTCGAGAAACTCTGAGCCGTGGTTTGCTTTTTCTTCATTCACCCTGTTTTCCTTGCGGTGTTTGGGTTTCGTGATGAATGTCACACGTCTGTGCCTGCTGTTCTGCCGATCAAGTACATCAAATCCACGGTAGTGGATCCAAATCAGACACGTAAACAGGATCTTCCAAACGTTCTTTACCCATGCCACAATGTGCATGAACCAAAACGATCCCATATTTCTGATCCAGTTTGCTTTCCAACAGTCAATGCAAGAAACAAAGTGTATACAAAGAATTCATTTCCTGTGCGATGCCACACTTTCAGCCCATAGCCACCTATCAAGAGCTGCATCGCTGCGTCCTCAATTTTCCGTCCGCAGCCATGGCACCAACCACGATCTCGGCCCCGGGGCGTTTTCTGTCGCTGCCCAAATCGGTCGCGAGCGTTGGAGTAGATGCGTGGAACAAGAAGGTGTGAGCTGTTGAGTCGTTGAGTCCAAAAAATCCGGATTTGATATGCACATCACCAACCATTCTTTGGGATGACAATGATGTAGGCGGCAAAAAAAGGGTCTTTCCGAAAGCTGGAAACGATTGACATTTAAAAGGGAGGGCTATTTATTTTTGTTTTTTTTTTCCGCGGCAGGTTTCGGATTTTTTTTGGGTTCCTGGTTCTATGCTTTCCTGTTTCTCTGCTTTTCCTGCTTCTCTGCTTTTCCTGCTTCTCTGCTTTTCTGCTTCTCTACATTTTGCTTTTCTCTGCTTTTCCTGCTTCTCTGCTTTTCCGCTTCTCTACTTTTTGCTTTCCCTGCTTCTCCGCTTTTCTGCTTCTCTGCTTTTCTGCTTCTTTGCTTTTCCGGCTTCTCTGCTTTTCCGCTTCTCTACTTTTTGCTTTCCCTGCTTCTCCGCTTTTCTGCTTCTCTGCTTTTCTGCTTCTTTGCTTTTCCGGCTTCTCTGCTTTTCCTGCTTCTCTGCTTTTCCGCTTCTCTACTTTTTGCTTTCCCTGCTTCTCTGCTTTTCCTGCTTCTCTCCTTTTCTGCTTTTCTGCTTTTTGCTTTTCCTGCTTCTTTGCTTTTCTTTTTCCCTGCTTCTTTGCTTTTGTACTTCTGTGCCTTTCTACTTCTACTATTCTACTTTTTCTTTTCTTCAGTCATGTGTTTTTGCTGCTCCACTTCCTGCTCCTTTGCTTCTTTGCTTCCTGTCTTTACTGTCTCTTTGTCTTTCATTTTCTTTGCTTTATTCTGTTCTGTTTGTATCCTAAATGAAACCCTAGAGAGAGACCCTAGGTGAAACCCAAAGAAACCCTAAAGAAATCCTGATAAGAAACCCTACATGAAGCCCTAAATGAACACTAAAGAAACCAAAAATGAACCCTAAAGAAACCATAAATTAATCCTAAAGAAACCATAAATGAAACCCTAAAGAAACTTTAAATGACACCCTAAATGACATCCCAAAGAAAGCTTACACAACACTCTGAAAAAAAACTAAATGAAACCTTAACCGACACCTTAGCTGAAACCCTAAATTGACACCCTAAAGAAATCCTAAATGAAACCCTAAATTGACACCCTAAAGAAATCCTAAATGAAACCCTAAATTGAAACCCTAAATGAAACCCTAAAGAAACCCTAACTGAAACCCTAAAGAAACCCTAAAGAAACCCTAAATGACACCCTAAATGAAGCCCTAAAGGAACCCTAAAGGAACCCACTTGACCGTTTAGAAATCGTGAAAAGACATCCTGATAAGAAACCCTGGAATGAAGCCCTAAAGAAAGCTTAAATGAACTCCTGAATGAAACCCTAAATTGAAGCCCTAAATTGAAGCCCTAAATTGAAACCCTAAAGAAACCTTAAATGAGACCCTAAATGAAACCCAAACTGAAACCCTAAATGAAACCCTAAATGAAACCCTAAACGAAACCCTAAAGAAACCCTAAATGAAACCCTAAAGAAGCCCTAAAGAAACCCATTTGAACGTTTAGAACTCTTGATAAGAAACCCTGATGAGAGACCCTGCATGAAACCGGGAAAGGCCCTGAATGGAACTCTAAAGAAACCCGAACCCTAAAGAAACCCTAAAATGAAACCGTAAAGAAACCCAAAATTAAATGAAACCTTAAATGAAACCCAAAAGAAACCTGAAATGAAACTCTAAATGAAACCCTAAATGAAGCCCCAAATGAAGCCTTAAATAAAACCCTAAATGAAACCCTTAATGAAACCTTAAATGAATCCTTAAATGAAAGCCTAAAGAACCCTCAAGAGACCCACATGAACGTTTGAAGCACCAAAATGTAGCAAATACCATGCAATTGAGAGGTTGAAATGCGAACATATGACAAATACCATGCAAAATGGAAGGCACACGTGGCCAAATGTAGCAAATACCATGCAAAATGCAAAGTGACCATGCCAAAATGTAGCAAATACCATGCAAAACAGGTTCTAGTTCCAAACTGTTGCAAATACAAGGCAAATGGTACCGGGAAAGAAAGGCAAAAAAAAAACAAAACCTGAGGCAAACAAATTCCAAAAACTATTCTACACCCATTTAAAAGCCCTCCATTTATTTATGGTCTTTAGAAGCCAGACAGCAATGGGTTTCGGGTGTTCCCACGTTCCAGGCGCAGCTGGCGCAGATGCTGAAAACATTGGACGGATCGTGCAAGGCTCCATGGGGTGGGTAAACCCCAGTCCTGGATCAGATGGGGCCAGGATTGTAGCAGGGATGGCAGGTACAGGATCCAGATCTTCAAATTTGTGGTTGTCAAATGAAGGTTTCTTCGAGGACCCCCAAATCCATTTCCTCATTTGTATGTGTTCTATGCAGGAAAACAATGGTTTGAGGGGTAACCGGGTAAATCAATTTTGAGAAGCCACAAAGCAACAAAATATATGATTTCCCAGTATTTGATAAATCACCATTGATTCCCTACCGCAGCAGCATGATTTCGAAAGGCGAGAACCGTCAGCGAAGTGATGCAAGAAGTGCGCGGCTTCTTCACTCTAGGCCATTTGCTCTATGCATACGCGGCTTGGCACTGTCCGAACAGAACATGTTGTTCCCAAACAGCGTAAGCTAATGGGGTCTTCAGCCCAGAATAGCTCCGGTGTGCACTGGTGCAGGCGCCGGGTCAGGTTCAACGAGGTTCCCGAGAAGGTTCCGAAGGTTCCGGCCAGGTCAGGTTCAACAGGAAGGTTCCGGAGGAGGTCGGGGAGGCTTTGGTGCAGAGCCAGGTCAGGTTCAACAGGGTTCCGGAGAAGGTTCCGGAGAAGGTCTGTGAGGCTTTGGTGCAGAGCCAGGTCAGGTTCAACAGGGTTCGGGTTCAACAGGGTTCCGGAGAAGGTTCCGGAGAAGGTTCCGGAAAAGATTCCAGGAAGCTTTGGTGCAAAGCCAAGTTAGGTTTAACGGGTCGTGGAGAAGGTTGCAGAAGCCAAGCCAGGTCAGGTTCATTTAGCTCACGGAAACCCAGCTGAGGTTTTTCCAGCGCTTGGCTTCGCAGCACGCTTCAGAAAGATTTGTAAAAATAACATGTTGCGGCTGTTGGGGAGACCGCCGAAGCTTATTTTTTTGCAGAGATAGTATTATGTGGGCTATACTAGTGGCTCAGTTCGTCGCAATGTCAGCGAGGAAATGATGATAAAAAAAATACCACTTAATTTTGGGGTGCGCTGAGTTTGGGCTGACGGCTAACCCAAATCATTGCTTGACGTCGGCTCTCGGTCTTGTACCGTTTTGCTTCCGCGCTTAACCCGTTGCGAGTTTTCGACAATAAATAGATGTGTGCTGGGCACGGGGCTGGAACCCGAGGCTTACTTGCGCATGCTGCACTACAAGGAGCTCCAGCATGGAAGGTAAAAGGGGTGTTTGGGAAATCTCCTCCACGCAGCGTCTCCAACCCACAAACAGGGGCCTTTCACTGTGCAGTCCACAGTTTCAAAGTCTTGCGAAGGCATGGCCTCTGACTTTCTCTGACCCTGGGCCTTTCCCTATTTTCCCTTTCCCCAGCTTCCACTTTACAAGGAACTGCCCACTAATAGGATCATCTTATTAGTAAGTGCAGCAAAAGATCAGTAACATACTCATCACTCATTGATAATAGGCATATATATATATATATAGCATGTTGTGGGATAACCACTCATAACCACACTGGACCTACGGCCACCAGGGCATGAAGTAGCTACGATCTGTGGGATGGTTCTTCAGGATCCCAACCTTTACTACGCTGCACTGTGGACGGACCCTGCCTTTCTTCTGCCCATCGTGTATACGCCCACCGTTGGGGAAGCCTGTCAGAAGCTCCATGGCCGCGGTTGTGCCCATCAGCTGAGAGGTCTGGTCATCCACCTACCCCGCCACTGGCCCCAAGGTTTGGCATGTTGCCATTTTTCCCGCGGGGATGCTATGTCTCCATCTCCGATTGCGGGAAGATCAAAGAAGTGCTTGCAGAATATGCTGAATGCATGCTTCCCAAGGACCCAGCATCTTGTGGTTTCTTGAATTCGGAAACATCCAAAGTGCGCAACAAGTCCTGTTCGCTCATCTTTCCTTTAGGCTGCAAGGCCCTAGAGTGGAGATAGAAATCATGTCCAGCATGGTGTAAATGGAAATGGTACTGGAAAGAAGAATGGTCATGGCATTTCTCTGGCAGCGCATTGCAGGATTCCAATGGCAACTACGAATGCCAGTGCATCGTCTTCTCTGACGCTGGTCGAATTTTAGGTCTTGGAGATCTGGGTTGTTGGGGCATGGGAATTCCCATCGGCAAGCTCGACCTCTACACTGCAGCTTGGCGAGATTCTTGGGGCCTTTTGCTTGCAACATTCCAATGATGTACCAACAGTTGGGGGCTTAAAGTGACGATAGAGGCAATGGACTATCACACGGCAGGCATCAGAAGTGGGACGGGGAGGCGCCGGTGTTCAGGTTTGTGCTGGCTTCAACCCCTACAAGACTATTCCAGTGATCATCGATGCTGGCTGCACCGATGCTAGTGGCAATTCGGCCAAGTTGACCATCAGGGATCACGATCTGTACACAGGACGCTGGGATGCTGGGCTGGGGGTTGGAGGCTGTAGGTGTAATGGTACGCAGATCGGCTGGTGACGCCAGGACTCAAACAGGATCGGATGAAGCATGAAGGAGAGTCAGGTGCGCGCTGTACAGGGGCTGCTGGTGAGTGGCGGGGGGGCAAGTGGCAGCTGGGTGACCCTCTGAATTTGATGCATACCCTTGGGCCATCACAGTAGCGCAAATTTGCGCTGCCACCCAGGTGCCTTAGTGAACACAGCTTACTATGGAGCCTGCTCGCTTATTGAAGAGTTCATGACAGCTGCCACGGAGCTTTTCTCGGAGAAGTGCCTCTTGCAGTTCGAGGACAATGAAAACAATCGCTGTGTGGGAAATATGGAAAGACCAGGTTGTTTGAAGCAACAGGGATGTTTGCTGCAGGGACATTCAATTCTTACGGGGCCTCGGGCCAGTTGGAGATCCGTGGGTGGCGTGATGCCTCCAGGACTTCAACACCAACGATGCCTTCCCTTTATTGGAGGCTGGGAGATGCGACTCCAGGAGATTCACCATTCATCACCATTAACCACCACATTAGTCACCATTATATAATCACCATTGACCACCATTAGTCACCATTATATAATCACCATTGACCACCATTAGTCACCATTAATCACCATTAACCACCACATTAGTCACCATTAATCACCATTGACCACCATTAGTCACCATTAATCACCATTAACCACCACATTAGTCACCATTAATCACCATTAACCACCACATTAGTCACCATTAATCACCATTAATCACCACATTAGTCACCATTAATCACCATTAACCATCACATTAGTCACCATTAATCACCATTAACCACCACATTAGTCACCATTAATCACCATTGACCACCATTAGTCACCATTAATCACCATTAACCACCACATTAGTCACCATTAATCACCATTGACCACCACATTAGTCACCATTAATCACCATTAACCACCACATTAGTCACCATTAATCACCATTAACCACCACATTAGTCACATTTAATCACATTAACCACCACATTAGTCACATTTAATCACCATTAACCACCACATTAGTCACCATTAATCACCATTAACCACCACATTAGTCACCATTAATCACCATTAACCATCACCATTAGTCACCATTAATCACCATTAACCACCACATTAGTCACCATTAATCACCATTAACCACCATTAGTCACCATTAATCACCATTAACCACCACATTAGTCACCATTAATCACCATTGACCACCACATTAGTCACCATTAATCACCATTAACCACCGCATTAGTCACCATTAATCACCATTAACCACCACATTAGTCACATTTAATCACCATTAACCACCACATCAGTCACATTTAATCACCATTAACCACCACATTAGTCACCATTAATCACCATTGACCATCACATTAGTCACCATTAATCACCATTAACCACCACATTAGTCACCATTCATCACCATTAACCACCACATTAGTCACCATTAATCACCATTAACCACCACATTAGTCACATTTAATCACCATTAACCACCACATTAGTCACATTTAATCACCATTAACCACCACATTAGTCACCATTAATCCACCATTAACACACCACATTAGTCACCATTCATCACCATTACCACCACATTAGTCACCATTAATCACCATTAACCACCACATTAGTCACCATTAATCACCATTAACCACCACCCATTAGTCACCATTAATCACCATTAACCACCACATTAGTCACCATTAATCACCATTAACCACCACATTAGTCACCATTAATCACCATTGTCACCATTAATCACCATTAGTCACCATTAATCACCATTAACCACCGTCACCATTAATCACCATTAACCACCACATTAGTCACCATTAATCACCATTAACCACCACATTAGTCACCATTAATCACCATTAACCACCACATTAGTCACCATTTAATCACCATTAACCACCACATTAGTCACCATTTAATCACCATTAACCACCACATTAGTCACCATTAATCACCATTAACCACCACATTAGTCACCATTAATCACCATTAACCACCACATTAGTCACCATTAATCACCATTAACCACCACATTAGTCACCATTAATCACCATTAACCACCACATTAGTCACCATTAATCACCATTAACCACCACATCAGTCACCATTAATCACCATTAACCACCACATTAGTCACCATTAATCACCATTAACCACCACATTAGTCACCATTAATCACCATTAACCACCACATTAGTCACCATTAATCACCATTAACCACCACATTAGTCACCATTAATCACCATTAACCACCACATTAGTCACCATTAATCACCATTAACCATCACATTAGTCACCATTAATCACCATTAACCACCACATTAGTCACCATTAATCACCATTAACCACCATTAGTCACCATTAATCACCATTAACCACCACATTAGTCACCATTAATCACCATTAACCACCACGTCAGTCACCATTAATCACCATTAACCACCACATTAGTCACCATTTATCACCATTAACCACCACATTAGTCACCATTAATCACCATTAACCACCACATTAGTCACCATTAATCACCATTAACCACCACATTAGTCACCATTAATCACCATTGACCATCACATTAGTCACCATTAATCACCATTAATCACCATTAACCACCACATTAGTCACCATTAATCACAATTAACCACCACATTAGTCACCATTAATCACCATTAACCACCACATTAGTCACCATTAATCACCATCAACCACCACATTAGTCACCATTAATCACCATTGACCATCACATTAGTCACCATTAATCACCATTAACCACCACATTAGTCACCATTAATCACCATTAACCACCACATTAGTCACATTTAATCACCATTAACCACCACATTAGTCACATTTAATCACCATTAACCACCACATTAGTCACCATTAATCACCATTAACCACCACATTAGTCACCATTAATCACCATTAACCACCACATTAGTCACCATTAATCACAATTAACCACCACATTAGTCATCATTAATCACCATTAACCACCACATCAGTCACCATTAATCACATTGACCATCACA